TGACTGAACTACCGGAGGAAAGATGCCTCAGCCACTCTGCTACTTGCCACTGACTGACTGACTCAGCTCCTTGGGGAGAACTGAATCTGAAGCTGGCCCATTCCATGACCAAGCTACATGTAGCTTGGCTTGGTTCTGCAGAGAAATAAGGCCCACAGATGGCAATCCAGACCCAGGCCAGAGTGAGGCAGTCAGGGGATGGGCCTGGCCCCACTGGGTTCGTAAACTAGAGATGCTCCTGGTTCCAGACACTACTCATTGACCACTGAAATGTTACTATCCTCCTAGGAAGGCACTCATCTTAACAAATTAGTTCACTCTAGTCTTCTACACTGTACACAAAGAATGGACACCAGGTCTGGGCAGAGACCAGGCTTGCAGGGGCATGTGGAGGAAATCCCGGCTGAAGCTCAGCTCAACCCTCTCCACAATTCCTACTCTCAGAACCTCAGCAATCCTCTCCAGATACTCAGGGGCTTCCCCTCACACAGGTAAAACCAGAGTCCTACTCATGGCCCCTAAGATGGTGTTTAAGTGCTCAACTCTATTTCCCTCTGTCCACTGCACTGGCCTCTAGGTGGTCCTCCACAGCCCTCAAGGTGGTCCTCCACAGCCTCCTCCACAGCCTGGGTCTTTCCACCTGGCAGAAGGTTTTCATCACAAGTTGCCTCCCGACGCTGGCCATGCCCAGTGAGCCTACCCTTCACACTCCTTTTAGAACTCACGGCTACCTTATCCTACAACAAAACCCATTCATCTGTCAAAACAAGTCAATAGCAAAGGGGCAAATATTGCACGGTTCCAGTTTGGTGTGTGGTGAGGAAGGTCAAAGGCCAAGGCTGGGTATCTTCCCCACCTTAGGTTTCTGAGACAGGGTCTGTCCACTGAACGTGGAGCTCATGGATTTGGCTGAGACTGAACACCTAGGATCTGCCTGTCCCCTTGCCCAGCTCCACCCTAGAGTTAGAGTAACAGTTACGCACCACACTTTGCTTTTCATGGCTACCGGGGATCTGTACATGGTTCTCACGCTGGCACTGCATGGTCTTCCCCACCCCCTCCCCTATGATTGCACTGCTACGAGGAGTTCAGAGCTGTCAGATTCAAAAGAGACAGTAAGCAGAGTGAGGGTGGCCAGGGCCTGGGGTGTGGAAGGAGTTTAACGGGTGCAGAATTCCAGTGAACAATGGGAAGCTCTGGGGAGGACAGAGTGGCTGCTGCAGAGCAGTGTGACCACCCTAATGAGACCGAGTCACACACAGCAAATGTGCTGTGTACATTTTGCCACCATTAGACCAAGATCCCCAGTGTTCGTCTACTCTCATGGAGCTGTAAGTCCCACACAGGACTGGCTTTTGCTTGCTGCTGTGTCCTCAGAGCTAGGGACCAGTGGAACTGGCAGGATATGGGTGATGCCTGGACCTGGAAGTGGGTACCACTATATTCTCCTGTGTATGACTGAAAATTCCCACTAGGAAAAGTTAAAAACTGTGTTGGGTATTTACAGCAAATTGCTCAAGACACTCAGGGCCAGCAGGGGTGTGTGTGTGTGTGTGTGTGTGTGTGTGTGTGTGTGTAGTAGGGACAACAGAGTCAGAATGAGGACCATGATGGGAGAGAGTATTGTGGAGGAAAGGGCAGAGCAGGCAGACAGATCTTGCTTCTCAGCCTTGGCCTATGAGGCAGATCTTTTGCTGTCCTCCTAAGACCATATACACTCAAGGTCTGCTATGTGAGCGGAACCAGACTGCTGTGCCAGTGGGGCTTTGAGGGAGAGCACCTGACATGGAAGAAGCATGCTTCTCACAAAGTCATGGCATGATCCTGATGAGCTAGGCTGACTGGAAGAGCCACAGGTGACCACAGGTCAGGGTCTCATGCTAGACAGGTTTTATGTAATTCTGCCCATACTGCAGAGGGTGCAAAGGAGGCTGTGTAGCACCGTCCCAATCCTGATCCCCTCTTGCACTATTGCTGTTCTCTCCACATGCTCTTTGTTGACACAATCTGGATCTCTCTCTCCTGAAGAGACAAAAGGAAGCTATACATGGAAATTTTGTCTGGCACGCATAGCACAAAACTCCATGTGGGAGTGTTGCTTTTGTGCAGCTGTGACCACGGTTCATGTTCAGTTGGGCTCAGCACCCCATGGCCCAGAACTGTCCAAGGGGATCCCACCACTGGCCCAGGTGGTCAGCTTCCCAGTGACAGCCTCATACTTCCTGATGAAAGACCTACAGCCCATGTCAGACCTGAGCCCCCCTGCTAATCCTCTCCAATTGTTCTGGGAGGGCTCCCAGGACAGCTGCATGGAAGTCATGAGTGTGAAAGTGTTCGTGAATAAGTGTGGAGTATGACATTAAGTCTGTGAACCTATGAATTTGTATGCATGTGTATGTGTGAGTGTGCATGTGTGTGACACAAAGGCCTGTCACTTGGCTGGAGAATAGCAAGGGAGACACTGGATGAAATGAAGTACATCGATCTTGTCCCCACAGTCTCAGCAGAAGGTGGCTGTGCTGGGTAGTTTTATGTCAACTTGACACAAGCCATGAAGTCATTTGAGAGATGGAACCTTAATTAAGAAAAACACCTGCATAAGATCAGGCTGTAGGCAAGGCTGTAGGGCATTTTCTTGTTAATTGATGGGGAGGGCCCAGGTAACTGTGGGTGGTACCATCCCTGGGCTGGTGGTTCTGGGTTCTGTAAAAACCATGGAAAGCAAGATAGTTAGCAGCACCCCTCTATGGCCTCTGCATAGACTCCAGGTTTATCCTGACTTCCTTCAATAGTAAACAAACACACAATGTGGAAATGTAAGCCCAATGAACCCTTCCCTCTCCAACTTGCTCTTTGGTCATGGTGTTTCATCACAGCAATAGCAACCCTAACTAAGACAACTGTCCAGCTGCAGAGGAGAGCCCAAGGACAGAAGAGGCAGGTGCTGGATACCTAAGGCTTTCTCTGGGGATCCAGAGAATAAGTACCAGGCAGGCACCTCATTGTGTGAAATTCCCCAATGGAGGAAAGGACATACCTCCCAGACAGCCAGAATGACCCTACAGGAAAAAGGCATTTTGAAGCTATCTTTTTTTTTTAAGCAGAGAAGGGGCAGGGCTAGAGATCACAGTTTGAGCTGTGGGGGACTTGTTTCCTCCACAAGGTCTCCTGGGTGGAGACCTGGATGGTCTCACAGAGTGGGCTGGGTTAGCCAAGCAGAGTTGGGAGGAAGCTTCCTCCACAGTTTTTGGCCTTTACCTTTCATTCAGTGGGTCCAGGCCTGACACTATGGAGGAGCTGCCCAGTTCTTAGCTCAGTGTGATGTTAACTAAAGGAAAAACCTAAGCCCAGAGCCCTGGCATCTGGCAGCTGCATGAGCAGGACTGTAGCTCAGCACTTGTGCCCCAAGGAGGAAGGTTCCGAGAGCCCCCATGTCCCTGACCCCGAGGGCAGAGCCAGCCTTTGCAGGCAAGCTCTTATGATACTTGGGAGAGATGAAAATATTATTTTTGATCTCGGTAGCTTAGGAGATGGGATGGCAGCCAGCTCTCACACACCAGGGCAGAAACCACTGTCTGGCACACACCAGGCGTTTAATAACAGGTTTGCCTATCCCCATTAGCAAAACTAGACTTCTTGTTCAATGACAGGGTCAGATTTAATTCTATAGTAAATCTAAATCATCTAAAATGAGTCTTGTTTTTATATGAATCACTCTTCTGGTTCAGAGAGTCTTCATCCTTCCTTCACTGCTGGGACAGGCACCCAATTCCTCTGTAAATTCACCCTGGCACTCAATAGGGTTCTACTCTTTGGTTCCTTTTGCAGCCTTATTTTTCCCCTTCTTCCATGAGAGGGAAAACTCCCTGACTCCAGGAATCCCCATCTCCATGCTGGCCTCCTCAGACACTGAGGCCCTAGAGCATGGATGTGTCAGATGTGGCAAGAGGTACAGGCAGATAGAATGCCTCCTTTTTTCCTTTTCAGTTTGTATCTTATATATTATACCCACGACAAACTTTTACCAGTTGAAATCAGTTGAAATGTCACATTCTTTTTTTTTTTTTTTTTTTTTTTGAGACAGGGTCTCATGTAGCCCAAGCTGACCTTGAACTTGATTTGTAACCAAGGATGGCCTTGACGATGTGTGGTCCACCTGTCTCCAGTTCCCAAGTGCTGAGATTACAGGTGTGTGTCACCAGGCCCAGTTTTACCCAGTGCTGGGGATAAACCCAGGGCTTCACACATGCTGGGCAAGTACTCTATCAACTGAATCACACTCCCAGTCCCAGTCTCAGTTCTTAAAACACAGACAGCCTCCATCCAAGGTTGAGTGGTCAGAGATCACCCAGGTCCCTAGGGAGTAAAGAAACTTGGCTTCCACCTGTATGGCTCCATATGAACACATAAGCTTCCACATTAGCGGGGCCCATGAAATGAACCGTAGATATGTGGCCAGCTTTCCCAGCCGTTCTGATCTCAATCCCCTGAACCTCAGGTAGTAGGTCCCAGAAACAATTTCTCCCCAAGGGATACAAGACAGGTAGGTGTCTTCCCTCCCAACTAACCCTCAATCCACCAGATCTCTTGTCAGGGACCAAGGAGATGGAGTCCCTTCCTCTATCAGATGGGTTTCTCTACACACACGTTTCATTTGTATCAATACAAGCTGACAGTTTTGACTCATCCTGAATCTTCCTTAAGCCACTGTTTTTTCCTAAACCAGTAACAATCCCAATTGATCCCTAAGCCACATGGAGCCAGGTGGGCTGGAGAAGGAAAATAGCTTAAGGAATGATGATGCTGGCGGGACAGTTCCCGGGAGCAGCATGGCCACTAGTTAGCAGTCATCCCCTTACCTGAACCACACGGCCTCAGGGTTATGCTCAGAGCAAGAAGCAGCAGCTGGCCACACTCACACAGGTGTACACACGCACACACGTGCACATACACACATGCACCATGGGACCATCAGAGAAACAGAAAGGACAGGGTCCTACCAAAAAGGCCATGGGGTTCCGACTGGCGCCTCTGGGTGCTTCCGTTTTGGTCCTTGGGTTTCTTGTTGCCCCTCAGACTTCCAAAGCGCTTCATGAGTCACTGTGGCCACAAAAGCGGTGACAGGTGAACATATCAGGACTTGAAGAACCAGCATGAGCCTCAGCTGGGGAACAGGGGTTCACCAGAAGGGGAGCGGCATCAGCTGGCAGGTGCAGGGTACCTGGGAGTCACAGCTTACACTGCTGAGAGGCAGTCAGAGTCAGCCACAGCCTGTGGATCTGAGTGTCCTCACCAAGATAGCTCTGATTAATAGGAGATGAGGGTCATGCTCCAGGACCAGCCTAGCAGCCACAGGAACTCTCACAGCAGTTCTCACTCAGGTCCCTGAGACTTCTGAGAAGAAGCAGTTCTGACTGGCCGCACCTCTCCTCTCCCGGCAGGCAGCTGGAGTGTCAGTGTCGCCTGTCCTAAGTAGGCAAGAAGCCACTGGAGGCACAAACAGAACCTTGCAGGGGAGCTGTTTATGTAGTTAAGGTCACCGGCTCACTGACAAGCTCCAGGTTATTTATTCTCTTTAAACTTAAAGCAGGAGGGGAGCCCAAGTCAGCAGAGCCAGCACCAGCCTGCTAGTCATGAGCAGATCTGCGTGATGTCTCTTTAAGAAGACTGTAAAAGGAAACCACCCTGTACAGACAATTCTTGGCACCAATTGGCCAGAGCACATTCCCATTATGACATGACATCACACAACTATTTTGATGCATGTGCTTCTGGGCTCTGAGAGCTCTCCTCAGGCTCCAGAGACTGCCTGAGGAGAAACTCCCGAGAGCACCAGGGCCACATGGTGCCGAATCTCCTTTGGCCCTCACTCTTCTAGGGAACCTTTGAGGAGAGAGAGGGTTGCAGTGGGATTCAGCAGAAGGTCTCAGGCAAGCATGGAACCTGACTGTTAAGAACTGCACGGCAGAGCTCAGATTTTGGAGGGTATCTCACTCGACTCCTATGTAGACAGGGAAAATGACAGGGCTGTGGCTCATCCAAGCTCCCGCAGCCAATGACAGAGACAAGACTGGAATGCTAATCTCATCTCCCACAAGCCCAATGTCTGCCCTGACAAAGCATGGAAGCTTTAGTTCATACATGTGTTGTAAGTAAGTAAGAGGGTGAAACACCAGAGAGGAAAACAAGCTTGTTTTTTCTGATGGCTTTTACTAAAGAACGCTACTTTCTTACTAAGCAGCACTGTGACCTTGCAAAAGTCTCTTCTCATCTCTGAGACCCACCTTTGCGAGCCAGGATGAGACCAGGTCATAGCAGGATTTCAAGTTCTTACAGTCTGGGGTAGAGAGATGGCTCAGCAGCTAAGAGTATGTACTTTGCACTGTAGTTCCTGTCACCCATAACATACAGGTCACAACCGCCTGTTACTCCAGCTCCCGGAGAATCAATGCCCCCCCTCCCCAACACACACACCTGCACTCACATGCACAGACACAGGCAAATAATTTGTAGAAATCAAGTTCCAATAATCCGAACTAATGGTAATGAAATACCCACTCACCTAAGAGTTAGTTAAATGATCCCTGTGCTGACGACGACTAACGTGGAGCCTCTCAGCTCCCTGTTTAGATGGTATCACCTTCACAAACCGCACTGATATTTGTGTAATTTTTGTTATTTAATATGACATCTGGAAATGAGGGGATTTAGGGAGATAGGATGGGGACACTTGTGAGGAGGACCCAAACCCACAAGAAGCTACCCTGAGTTCAAGCCTGGCTGCTCTTTGTGGGTTTGCCATTCTATCAGGCCAAGTTCAGCACTGTCAGTTACCATCTACTCATCATGAAGCCCCTACGAGAAAACGATGGACTCCCTAGCTAGGGCAACAGGCTGGGAAAGTACAAGCTTCAGGGAGCCTTGCGCCGAGGATCTCCACCAAGCAGGAAGAGTCCACGACGTCCATGACAAGTCCAGGATGTCATACAGTAGGAGTGCCAAGGTTTGAATATGAGCTGTCCGTCCCAGGCCCATGATTGAACACTTGGTCTCCAGCCAGTGGTACCACTACGGGAGGTTTAGGACCTCTGTGGTCTGGAGTCTAGCTGGTGGAACTAAGTCACGAGGGGTGAGCCGATTCTAGTTGACCCGCTTTGTCTGTTGCTTGCCCACGTCATGTTAACAAGTGGGCCTCACGTCCCCATCATGCTTTTCCCATGAAGAACTGAAATCCCTTTGAAACTAGGAACCAAAATAAAGACTTCCTCCCTTCAGCAGCCTCTGACCTACCTCCCCAGGGCCTCCCTTTAGTCACAGTGCTGGGCAGACCCGGGAACATGTCTGCTATCACGTGCCTGTGGGTGGGGCCTGCAAGCAGTGGAGCCTTGGATCAGACCCTGCCTCATCCTGTATTTCTGTCTCCCTCACTTCCTGCCCCTGCCTGTCTCTGTCATGGTGGCCCCATGGTCCTCTTGCTGACAGTGGGTGGGGAAGCTTTGTCTCAGCTTCTTTTCTGTTGTCTCTGCAGAGTTACTGGTGACTTCAGGGACTTCAGTGATGCACTGGACGCTGTGAGGGTGGGGAACCAGCCTTAGCACAGCTGCTGGGGTTTTGTCCACTTGCCAGTCACACTTTACACCTCCTAAGCTGCAGGTGCAGCTGGTTTAGGCCTTTGGCCACCAGAAGCCAGTCCTTCAGTCTGGCCAGGTCTCTAGTATAGTAGCAGGGTATCTCTACGGTCAAAATACATTGGCCCAAACTTACTGTGATTGAAAACTCTGCAAAAGATGAAGTGTGCACAGTTTAGAGCTTCACATTTAGGTTTTGAAGAATTTAAATAAACTCTGCTTAAATTGAAAATTAAATTTTTCTCAATTTGAAACTATGATGATGCAGGTGTGGTGACATACACCATTAATCGTAGCCCTGGGGAAGCTAAGACAGGAGGATCATGAGTTCCTGACCAGTCTGGGCTACACAGTAAGACCTATCCCCAAACAAAAATGCTAAAAAGAAACAACAACCTAATAAAGTAAAATAAGTAGCAAAATGCAAAGATTTGTCTGGAGGGACCACTGAACATATATAAAGAGGAGGCGTGTTTTAATAAAAGCTTATGTGAAAAGACATGTTCCTTTTTAATACATGTGTGCATGCATGCACAAGTGGTAAAGTGTGTAAATGTGTGTGTATGTGTGTGTAAATGTGTGTGTGTGTGTAAATGTGTGTATGTAAATGTGTGTATGTGTGTGTAAATGTGTGTGTGGGGGGGCAAAAGTTGATGTGGACTGACTTCTTCAATTGCTTTCCACATTATTTTTTGAGACAGGGTCTGTCCCTGAATCTGGAGCCTGGCAGTTTGCTAGACTGAGTGGCTGGCAGTGAGCCTCAGGGATTCTCCTGTATGGGGCAAGGGCCAGCTTTTTATGTGGGTTCTGGGGATCTAAACTGAGGTCCTCGTGCCTCTGGGACACTTCACTGACTGAGCCATCTCCCCAGCCAACAATGTAAGCATTCTTACTCTAGATAGAAAATGAGCACAGAATGTGGAAAGAAATATTTCAGTGTCTAGCGTCTAGTGCAGATGAGTTTCAATTTATAAGGAAATCAAAACAGCAAACGAAGGCAGGCACGGTGACTTGGTTTACCTGGACACTCACTCCGCAGGTGGCAGTTAAACCTCTGGGGGATGTTCCAGGCAGCTGCTGTAAACCACTCAAAGCCACTCCTATTCTCCAAGAACAGTATTTTCATTATCAAAATAATAACTACCATTTACCAAGAGTCTCTTACAAGCGAGCAAGCACTGGGCAACTTAACAGTTGTCATTTCATTTTGCCCCTACAAGGCTGAAGGGCAGGTGTCAATAGCTGAGAGTCAGAGTAGCAGCTTGGTAGGGTCAGGGCAGGGAGCATGGACTTGAACCCTGATTCAGATAAATCTGAACATGTCTTCCCTCCAGGGCATACTTCTGCTTGCATGCCTACAATACAACATCAGGGCCCAAGGTCAAAGCCTCCTCTGGCTCCCCTAGGCCCTGCCTCAGTGAGTTCCTTGGAAGAAAGAGAATATGCAAGAGTCTACATTCTGCACCTTCACCTTTGACCTCCAGGCTGGAGAGTTTAAAGGCAAAGAGCCAATCTTGAAAACCTTGTTCTGCATCCCCATGGCAGTCATGACAAGCCAGGATGCTGACCGACTTGCAGGTGAACCCTGTGTTTGAAGTGCCAAGAAGAACAGCTTGTGTCACTTTCCAGGTGGCTAAGCACAGGAGAGGAACAGACAGACAATCCCTCCTCCCAGCTCTGTCCTTTGCTCTGAACTCACACCACAGGGGAATTTGGGGTCCGTTTGAGAACTTAAGAATGTGATCAGTTAGGTGAAGGGGAAAAAAGAACTCCCTGTGTCCTTGGGGGTCACTGGCTGCTCCTGGGGGTGGGGGAGGGTAAGGAGGAACAGGCAAGGTTCAGCTTGAGGTTCTGGCCTGGCACAAGGTCTCCACTAAGGTAGTTTTAGGAGAGGGGAGCCCTGAAGAGGGATGGAGAGCTCACAAGGTGATGAGGCTGTGTTTTAAAATGGTCTGGGTCTTTCTAGATCATGCCTTAAAAACCACCGTCCTCAATGGCATGAACCAGGGACAGAGTGAGGCTGGGGACAGCAGATGCCCTCACAGGACACCATTCTGACACCATACTTGGCAAGCTTGTGGGTACATGTGTGTCAATGTGTGTGCTTGTGCATATGTATATAAGAGCCCCAAGGTGGTGTTGGGAATCATACTCAACACTTCTTCATTGAGACAGGGTCTCTCAGTCAAGCCCAGAGCTCACTGATTGATAGGGCTAGTCTCATTAGGCAACCTGCTCTGGGGATCCTGTCTCCACCTTCCCAGGCTGGACTTAGTGGCGGCCACCACAGCCACCCGGAATTTACAAGGGCTCTGGGGACACAAACTGCAGCCTTCCTGCTTGCACACCAAGTGCTTTAACCACTGGGCCGTCTTCCTAGCCCATGACTGCAGGGTTTATTTTAATATGTGTTCTTTCAAAAATTAGCACATTCTTAATTAAAATAGTGTTATATCACTGCCCCCTTCCCTTTCCTTCCTCTAGTTCCTCCCAGGTATCCTCCCTCCAGCCCTGCCCGTGTCCCCTACCCTCAAACTGATAGTTTCTTTCTCTTTATTGTTACATAACATACAAATGTGCACACAAATAGGTAAATACAGCTTGCTGAGTTCATTTCTGTTTGCATGTATGTGGTTTCAGGTCTGACCAATTTCTATTGTGTCACCAGCAAGGAGCCCATCCCTGAGAGAGACTAATTCTAACTCTTCCAGCCGTCATTAGTTGCCCGCAGTTCTCTGTCTAGAGTGGGATCCCATGGAATTTCCCCCTTAGAATTTTGGTGCTGCCATTGTCCCTGTCTTGTTTGTGCAGCCATTTCTTTTTTCTTTTCTTGGTTTCTCTGTGGCTTTGGAGGCTGTCCTGGAACTAGCTCTTGTAGACCAGGCTGGTCTCGAACTCACAGAGATCCACCTGCCTCTGCCTCCCGAGTGCTGGGACTAAAGGCGTGCGCCACCACCGCCCGGCTATTGTGCAGCCATTTCTGAGAGAGACTGTTTCTCAGCAGAC